GCTTCTCCAGATTTAGAAGTCACAGCTGCGATGGTTTGGCCATGTGTTTGGAATGCCTCCAGGAAGGAAGGCTAAACAACTGTTTCTTGCGAAGCCGTCAGGCAGAAGGTTCATGGGTCGGCCAAGATTAACGTTGAGCAAATATATGTAAGGTGTCTGTTCCAGACTCCCGTTGTCTTTTGTCGAAGCTCAGACTCTGGCACAGGATCGGAATCGTAGGAAGCTCTGTCTGACAGGTCTGCCTCCGAGACCCGAAAGGTATAGCGGCCGTGGAAGATGAAGGTGAAACTCCTTTAAATACTGACCATAGGAAATGATAATTTGGAGTCCTGTTTAATGCTGGGTAATTCAATAACGAGTTGATTCCAGAATATTCGTAAAATATATAGTGACATTGGTATGTTGAACGATCGAGACTTAAATTCAATTATAATGACTCTTGATGAAGTGACTTCTCTTAACAAAAATATTTAATAGTGAAAGCTGAAAAACAAAATTAAAACGTTTGGCACAAATCTTTGATTATGTCTATGGAACTAAGATTCGTTTTCAGGCTCACTCCTGCGCATTTTGAAATCGTTATTGCTTCGACCAGAAGCAGTATAATCATTGCGTTGGTACATTTTTTTGAATGATATCTTTAAGTAATCTCGCCGCAGTCGTTTTTCGGAACATCTGAGTAATCATTTGCTTTACACTATCGCGGTGTCGATGTAAAGTAGGAAATGAATTTTTCTTTACACTGCACTTTTTGTCGTTTTCGCCGTTATATTTTGGTGTCAATAATTTTAACATATTTGATTTTATTCGTATGTTAACGCGATAAGAGCAGTTGACTGGGAAGATCCTACACGTTTATTTCGCCGTACCATTGGTAGGAATCTTTTGATTCTTGTTATAAGTTGATGTTAAACGACCGATTGATTAAAATTTACTCCAAAAACTAGATTACTCAGCAGTTGCTCACCGCACCCTTGCTGCAAGTGGTCTATGAAGATAGTTTAAGCAATTTAGCTGCTAGGTATTGGAGCATTAACAAAATTTGTGACTATCCGTAGGAAAAAATAGAAACTAAGCACCACCGGATTTAACGATGGGATGATGCGCCTACGTCAACTAAATTCTATATCATTTTTTGAAATGAAATTACTGGCAGAATTTGAATGCTACCGTTTGTGGTAGCCACCAAATTATGTGGATTATATTTTGTCCATATGGTTGCCTTAGTAAAATGCAGCCGTTTTTCACCAGACTCATGGAAACTGACCTGCAACAGATGCATTGTGGGTTCTGGAACACCATCCAGCCCTGACCTGCTTAAATGTCATTTGAGCACTCAGCAGCGTAAGCTTTAAAGTCGAGCAAATAAATTATGAATTTCAAAGATATAATTACCTACAGAATTGAGCTGCTATTTGTGATAGGTGCCTCAAACATGGGAGGTATGCTTTGTTTATCTTTTAGTTTACTTTCATATCCAAAATATTTTTTGAAGGCAAGGAAAGAAGAAGACGTCGCTTTCGAAATGGGAAAGTGCGCGAATGCTAAAATGGAGCAATTTGCCAACTCAGGCGGTAAGCAGTTTATAGCACCCGAATGACTGCAATATTGCGTTTGAACTCTGTGCGTAAAACGGATATTTAGGGATGTTATGTGTTCCCTTCGAAATTCACATTATCGACCATGTTTAGAAAATATATGAACAGCGTTATGCGAATTTTATTCGTCAAGTTTCTAAAAGTGTTTAATACACCAATGGCCAAAATTCACAATGGAACTGTAAAAAAAAGATGAAAGTGCCTTCAGAGAGAAACGCCACATTTTATGCTTAGAAGTGTGCTTGTTCAATATTAACAAAAAGCAATACAATTAATGC